ACTAGTAATTACGTAATTTTCTGTATTAGAATGAAACTCATCCACAGATGAAACCCAACCACTGTGATAAAGTTCTATATTTATTGTAAAAATATATAGGTGATTTTGTAGTATCAGCTCTGATCCAGCCTCTTCCCTTTCTGAAAAGAAAAGAAAAAAGAAAAAAAAAACAGCATGTGCTGTTAAGGTAGCCCATTGGACAGATTATTGTTAAATCGACATAAAAACAATCCATTTGATGTCAAATGACTACCTTAATGTCAAAAGGCATCAAATTGACATCTATTATTGGCTTCAAAAACATGTCAAAATCTATTTTAGGACTGTCCTGTAATAATTTTTGAATTATTAGTTTACATGCAAATACAAATTAACAACAAAAAATAAGTTACATGGCATACTAAATCTAGTGTAAATTTGTCTTTTGTAATTAAAGCTTTCAGATTAATAATATCAAATGAATCATACTCATTGTGTTGTTATCTTGATGGTCAAAAGAACATTGTGTTGATGTCAAATGGACGTTGAGGTTTTAACATCGATTTTCATTTTTGACATGTTTTTTGAAAGCATTCTTGATATCAGTTTCATGTTATTTTGACTTCAAGGTGCTCTGGGTAGCTTTGATGGTTGTTTACTAGTTTAATCTGTCTTGCTGGTCATTAACTTCTATGTTAAGCTGCTTTAACACAATCTACATTGTAAAAGTGCCATAGAAATAAAGATGAATTGAATTGAAAATTAACTGGTTTAAGCTCATTCTTTAAGCTCATTCTTGCTATTTTCTATAAAAGATCCAGCACATAACCAGCAAGAATAAGCTTACACCAGCTCATGACCAGCAAAAACTGGTGTCATGACATTTTATCCTACCCATCAGATCATGCTACCCACACTGTATTTGAATGGTTCTTGGGATGGGGTTAGGGATTGGGTATAATATTAGGGTGATATTACAGCTCCATATCACACTACACAACATTAAAGTTTACACCAATAGCAAAATCAGATGGGTAACAAATTGTGTCATCAAAATGTGCTACCTACTTTTTGAATGGGAGGTAGGACAATCTGACAAGGTAGGAAAAATTGACAGAACACCGGCTTAAACCAGGAAACCAGCTTTAAAACCAGGATATGCTGGTTTTTTTTCAGAAGGGTCACCTCTGTGTATCACTCTGCCTGCAGCAAGTGTCAAGCGAAAAGCTAAACGTACTACAGTTTGACAGCTTTTAAAACTCTTAATGTATTTCTGAGACTTTTTAGGTCAGATTGTAGAGATTGTTTAGATTTCAAAAAATGTCATTAATTTGTAAGAATAGTGCCTATTTGAAAATGTTGTTCAATCATTTCGGAGATGGGACTTGCAGGACATCAACGGCCATTTAACCTTACATTCCCTAGCTAGACCACCCTTCTAATAAACAGTTATTGAGGGGTATAATGGATGCCTGTATTGTGGAGACATGTAAAATAATTCATTTTGGGTGAATCTTAATGCAAAATTTAGATGTCACCATCTGTTATTTGCTCAAGATTATTACTAGAAGAAATAAAATGATTCAAATACTAATTCTAAAGTGAGCTTTTTCATTTAGCAACAGCTCATTGCTTCGCTGTAAATGATCATCTGTCTACGACCTTAAATCAAAGCAGTGCTGATATATACAACCTTATCACAGTGCTACTCATGTGATATTACTCATATAAGCTATATATCTTTGTTTTTTGTGCCTACATTTTCTTTTCCAAGTCTAAATTAGATGTTGAATGCAGTGTGGTTTTAGACTGTAGGACTCTATATGCACATATATAAGTTGTTCTATGCCCTAGTTCCAAAGCCCATATATGTAGGCTTTGTCCTCTCCATTTTTCACACAGTGGCTTTTATCCATCAATATTTCTCTCTTTTCCCCCTTTCTGACTCTCTGAGCAGATCCTTAAGTGCATTCTATCATTTATGTGTCCAACCATTTGTATGTTTTTCATTCCTGCCCTTTCTCACCATCCTGCACTTTGAAAGAAAAAAGTTCCCCATACCTTAATTTATTCTCTATATTTATAGAAAGCTCTCAAAAGGAAGACTCGGTGGAGTTTACCGCTCAGAGGTCAGAAGGAAAGTGTGCAGAAAAGACATCAGAAAGCAAGATTTCCACATCGCTTAAGTAATCCACAACCTGTAGCGTGACATAGAGCCCGTAAAAGCCTTTGGTAATCATTCCTTACATGACTTATGCCTCATAAGTATTTCATCACATATTGAAACATTAAGAGAGAAAGCTGAGGTGTTTGATTCATACAGTATGTCTAAAAAATGGCTTTAAGTTGTAATATGAATGCTCCTATTTGATTTTAAATAAAATCACTTTTTGCAGAAAAGAAAATAGGGGTAACTACAGTATTTTCAGTTGATACAATTCACATGATACAATTCATTAGGCATTGTGAAAATTAATTTAATATTTGTTGCAACATTTATTAACATACATGTTTATAAAAACATAAGTTCATTCTTCACACCCCTATATACAACTCAGGCTTATTTTGAAAACGTAGTCCCGTAGACGTTTCTGGAGACTGCAAAATACATCCCAGGAGGTACGTATTTTTGCAGTTTTTGTTTTAGCGAATCCAGGAGAGGCCACTGTGTGCACTTTATTGCATCTCAAATGTCTCTCGCGAGTGCTGTTTGCACCCGTGCTGTTCTCGCGTTTACCCACCAGAGGCCGCTGTCGACCGACCGTCTGTCTGGCTGACTAAATGATCAACTGGGCGACCGACCAATCGACTGACCCACCCTCCTCCTTCCCTAAACCCAACCAATTTTACTGATTGACCTGCCCACCTACTTACTTCCCTAAACCCAACCAACCATTTTACAAAAGCCGTCCAAAAAAAGAAAAGCTCTCGTCTGATTTTTACCACATTTTCAGATTTTACCACCTTCTCACCCTGTTATTCACTTAATTTCATTTTATTTTTTGGATATGTTTTTGTCTTACTTGATATCTGGAACCGCTCTTCCCCGGACTCAAACCCTGTCATCGTGGTCAACTCCTCTCTGTGTTTCAAGTCCGCCGACATCCACAACAAGCTAACTGGACAAACTGAAAGTGGGAAAGCTCTCCACACAGAGGTAAGCGGTCAGCCGGTAAGCGCGAAAAGAAACTGCCTCATACCTCCTCGTAGCATTTGCTTCAAAAATGGAATGCAGCCATACATACCTCAGGCTACATAATTTGTGGTCTCCAGAAACATCCAAGGGACAACGTTTTCAGAATGAGCCTGTGTTGCCCATAAAGATTTCTGGAAATCACGAATTATGCATTTTTTCTTTGAAAAGAATGCTAAGGGGTGGTATGATGCCGACACAGAGCAGAGTTGACTGTGACGAATGGATTCAAGTTTGGTGAAGAACGGTTTTTGAAAGCAGATAAGAAAAACAAATGCCAAAAAATAAAGTAAACAATTAATAAACAGGATGAGAATGTGGTAAAATTTGAGAACATTGTAAAAAATCAGGCTGCCGTGAGGGTCTTTTTCTGGATTGCTTTTGAAAACAATGTTGGTTGGGTTTGGGAAAGTGCTTGGACGCTGGTCAATCGGTGCTTTTTAAAACACTATTGGTTGGGTTTAGTGAAGTGGGTTGGTGGGGCATCCGCTGTGTAAAACATGCGCTGCATAATGTTCATTTGGCGGTGGCGACCCCAGATTAATAAAGGGACTAAGCCAAAAAGAAAATGAATGAATAATAATACTTTATACAACTGCAAATGTTAATACATTAACGTAAACCTCATTATATTGCATCATTATTTTGAAATTTAAATTAACCGTATTCAATTTTTAAAATGCTTTTTCGTGCTACTGTCAAAAATTTTTATTAATTTATTTTTTGTAGTGGAGTCTAATGGCAAGAAAAAAAAGTAAACATTTTTCTTATGTTTACATAAGAAGTAAACGTCTGTTTTTTGTTTCGATGATTTTTGATCGATTGGTTGATTTTATTTAATTAAAACTAATAATCTTGTATCAAATTGTCTTCCTCTTTCAAGCAAAAAAAAAAAGAGCAACAGTATCATAATAAATAAATGTTGCTAATTAGAAACCACCCAAAGTGCAAAGAAACTAGCAAAATATGTAAAACTGCTTTCAACATCTTAGCAATGACATAGCAAACAGCTATTTTAACCTAGTGTGGAGAAACAGCATTCATATTTAAAATAAAATAAACAAATTAATTAATTAAATTAATAAATTAACATAAAGAAAAATAAATAAAGAATTAAAAATACATTCGATTAATAAATGGACTATAGCCAAAAAGAAAATAAATGAATGAATGAAATAAAAAAATATATATTAAATTAAATTAAACATAGGTGACGCGGTGGCGCAGTAGGTAGTGCATGATCTCCCTGCGTTCGCATGGGTTTCCTCCAGGTGCTCCGGTTTTCCCCATAGTCCAAAGACATGCAGTACAGGTGAATTGGGTAGGCTAAATTGTTCGTAGCATATGGGTGTGATTGAGTGTGTGTGGATGTTTCTCAGAGATGAGTTAAAGCTGGAATTGCATCCGCTGCGTGAAACATATGCTGGATAAGTTGCCAGTTCATTCCGCTGTGGTGACCCCAGACAGCTCAAACATAGATAGCTTTTGCATATTTTTTTAATAACCACCTAATAAATAAAGTAGTAGACCACACACATTTTTTTTATATGATATGATATTTCAGATCTTTCAGAAATGAATGCAGTCTGACATGATGACAGAGAAACTGCAACAGCTTGGTATACGCATCAGGGAATTCCTGATCATCGCATCGTGAACAACAGTGAAGCGCAGGCGTCAGGCAGTGGTTGCAGAGCAGAGAGAAAAGCAGAGACGACATGCTCTGTGAGTGTTCGAGAGAGAAAAAAAAGTGCTCTTAAGCATTCCATCATTTACGTCCCTGCAGCCTCTCTGTCCCCCTCCTCCTAGAGAGAGAGAGAGAGAGAGAGAGACTGAATACGCAAGGCAGCAAACGGTAGAGGACTCCAGTCTGCCAAAGCACAGCACTGCTCGCTTTCTTGAGAGGAGAGAGGCAGAGAACCACTAGCCTTCTCCTCCTCCATCCGAGTGTGTGTGAGGCTGGTACATCCGTTGGCTGGTGGACACAGCAGCAGTGTTAGCATTAGCAGGGAATCTGTGCTCCATCCTCCAAAATGATGAACAACCTCAATGAATGTGAAGAAGGCGATGGGGGACCCAACAGCCAGGGTGAGTGGTCTGATCCTGCAACAGCATTTATGTGCATGCGTGTGTGCGCGTGTGTGTGCAGAGGATGAGCAAATTTGTCTTTTTACTGGTCACTGGTGTGTGTATGTATGTGTGTGTCTGTGTCATCAATCATGCACCAGTAACTGATTACTGCTTGTGAGTGTGTGTGGAATGTACAACATGTCAGAGTGCAGATATTCTTGTAACATCATAATTAAAGATGATTTTAATGTATATGGTGCGCATGTGACATGGAAGCATTTGGAGCAATGACATAATTAAAAATTGTGTTTGTGTGTGTGAGTGTGTGTGTGTGTGTGTGTGTGTGTGTGTGTGTGTGTGTGTGTGTGTGTGTGTGTGTGTGTGTGTGTGTGTGTGTGTGCAGCTTTGGCAAAGGCTCGTGCTGCAAGGTTGCTGTGAGGAGAATGATAATGCTTTCCGTGTCTGTCTGAGGAACTACAGACAGCAGTGTGTAAATGTGTGTGTTTGTAGATGGTCAGGCACTGTCATCTCCCTACACTTTAAGTAAAGTGCAAATTTAATACAATGTGCAAATATCAAGGGATTTTCTGATTTTCACAGTGACTCAGGGTTAAAATTACCAGTTATTTTTTTATGTCAGAAAATGACACGTGATTATTTTATTTTATTTTATTTCATTTTATATTTTATTTTTAATTTAATTTTATTTTATTTTATCAATTATTTTTTATTTTATTTTATTTTATTTCATTTTATATTTTATTTTATTTTTAATTTAATTTTATTTTATTTTATTTGATCAATTATTTTTTATTTTATTTTATTATTATTTATTTATTTTATTTTATTTTATTTTATTTTATTTTATTTTATTTTATTTTATTTTATTTTATTTTATTTGTAGTGTACTGGCTGATACAGCCTGCAACCATCAAATTATTGTGCTTGTCTTTCCTATGAACTGTTGTTTTTTCTGTTGCTTAATTTTATTTAATTTTCCTATTTAACCATTCGTTTTATTTCATTTCCACATTGTCACTCCCTGCGTTTTAGATTCTCTGAAATAATAGGAATAATTACTAACAAAAGCCGAGCTTTGGTGCATTTCATGTCATTTACCTTTTAGAAAGAGAAAAGATGGTCTCTTATGCAAGGTCTCAGTTTCTAAAGGAGCTTCGTGCCTACAGGTTCAGCTCCAGCCTGCGAGAAAGGAATTAAATTAGCTCGTACCTGACCTCCTCTCGCATGCGTTCTTATCAACCCCCTGCAGTAAAGCAGAACCTGCACTCATTCTGAGTGGTGAAAAATTGGATGCACGCATGTGTGTTTCGCACACATTACAGATGGCAGCTGTTGAATCGATTACACAAACATCTCCCTTATTAAATGCACTGTGGTACAAGTGTCGTGATTGGATTGCAGTGGTTCTAGCAGCGACTCTGTCCGTGGTGCTGAAATCAATGCTGATTGAGCTGGTGGTATCAGTGGAGCTCTCCGTGGTTCTGAAACAGTCAGTGATCACATACATAGCGAATGCGCTCCAATTCTAGGCCCTCTGTTGCTGACGGACGTTTTGTGTAGACATGAGTGGAGCTGGCTGCAGACTGCTGCATTATAGCTTTTGCTTCTTTTCAAAGGGTCTCTCTTTCTCTCTCTCTCTTTTCTCTCTCTTTCTCTCTCTGCCTCGCTTCCTTCAAAGTCCAATGCTGCCCTGAATTTTCTCTCTCTCTTCCTCCCATCAGGGGGTAGGGACAGTACTGCAGTGGTGCTAATGCCTATTTGGTCATAAAATTCATGCTTGGTAGCTCACCAGCTAAAGCTGTCCCAAAACAATCTTGCTCTGTCATTCTCATTTTGAAGGGATGGGGTGAAATAAAAAGCAGGCACTTAAATTTGATTAGCAATTAAAATTAAAATCTGATTTTAAGAAAGTACATTCAGTACTATTCAGGCCTATTTGTTTTAGTTGTCCCCATTGTAATGGTCAAGTACCACTTCATCGACATCATTAAGATGTGTGAGTGAATAAATAAATCAATGAATTAGAAAGGAAGAAAGAAAAAAGAATGGATGAAAGGGTAAAAGAAAGCATAAATGAATGAATGATTGAATGAATGAAAGGGTAAAATAAAGCATGAATGAATGAATGAATGAATGAATGAATGAATGAATGGATGGATGGATGGATGGATGGATGGATGGATGGATGGATGGATGGATGGATGGATGGATGGATGGATGGATGGATGGATGGATGGATGGATGGATGGATGGATGGATGGATGGATGGATAGTTAATAATAAATTAGTCCTATTAAAAAGAAAAAAATTTAAAGAGAGTAAAACAAATAGTCTTTTCTCAACCTGAAATTCAAAGATGTGTAAGCAATATCAATTTCAGTGTAAAACAATGTCATTATATTGTCACACACTTGGTTTGACAAACGTACTTTCAGCCCTTATGCATTGCTCTAAGTCACAAGACTCAGCAGCTTCACAGATGATGTGCATTTCCATGACCATTCAGTTAGCTCACTCATCAAATAGGCTGACATACCAGATCATTTTGCACCTTCCTCTCAGTGGTTAGTGAGGTTCGAGATTTCTGATTGCTTCATGACACTGGTGATCTTTAGCATTTGTTATCGGTGAAGAAGGCTGGACTAGATTAGTTGAGAAATTGGATGGAAGGCAGAAGGCAATTGATTGTCGATCAATTTCAGAGACACTATATAAAGACCCGGCTTCATCACAGCTCCAAACTATACACAAAATCCATAGTGGTTTAAAAATGATCAAAAAACAGTATGTAATTACTTAGAGATGTGTGCTTATTTATTTTTTAATACAGCATGTTGTTTATTGTGTAAAAAGAAAAGCAAAGAACAATGGAGAGAGGGGGAGATCTTCTATGAGCATGCAGATGAGAGTGTGTGCACTGTGATTGTGCCTGTCCTTGTGGAGTCTCAGGTCAAGTGAACATCAGGCCAGATGGCACAGACCTGTTTTAGCAGCCACAGGCACATGAAGACATTAAAACACAACAGGACCACCCTAAATTAGTATTGTCTAGAGAACTAGCTGTTCTCAAATACCACTAACAGAACAAGAAAGAACTAGTTGTTCTTAAAGACATAGTTCACACAAAACTAATAATTCCATCATCAATTACTCACTTGTTACTTATTTCCAACCTTCAAATAGATAGATAGATAGATAGATAGATAGATAGATAGATAGATAGATAGATAGATAGATAGATAGATAGATAGATAGATAGATAGATAGATAGATAGATAGATAGATGGATACGTAGATAGATAGATGGATGGATGGATGGATGGATGGATGGATGGATGGATGGATGGATGGATGGATGGATGGATGGATGGATAGATAGATAGATAGATATATAGATAGATAGATAGATAGATAGATAGATAGATAGATAGATAGATAGATAGATAGATAGATAGATAGATAGATAGATAGATAGATAGATAGATAGATAGATAGATAGAAGAAAGAAACTCTAAAGTAAAAATTAAGTAAATTTAGGCAAAATGAATTGCATGCTGTTTGCATAAGAATTACAGTCACGTGTTTTAAAAAAAAACAGCTATTTACACTAGACATGAACCTTTATGTTGTGGATTGTATTCAGGCATGTTAAAATATTTTGACTACTAGCTATTAGGTTACATTACAAAACATTTCCGGGAAGACAGATGCAGCCATCACAGTAATGATGTGACACACTCTGTCTTTAAAAAAAAATAGCTGCCAAAACTCCTAAGTTATGTCAAAACATATAGTATTCATAATGTCATAATGCTCAACTTTTACATTAACAAGAAATCCAAGGACAGTGTTACATTCTGCTGTACCATTTCAAGTTGCATCATTACATCATAGCATATAGCCAACAGCAATGCCTAAAACTATATTTTGACAGAACTACAGTTAAGCACTGAAATTAGTAATACCCCTGGGATATATATTTTTTAAAACCTGTAGAAAATGTAAAAACCTGTAGATAATGTGAGACCTGCCACTTTCTCAACCAATTTAAATGCACGCTCACCCCATCTTCAGTTGCTAAGCAGTCATCAGCCACATTCTCCAAGGAACCAGCACTGACAAAAGCCCTTGCTGTAGCTCTGATACTAGATTTATTTATGGAGGATGGATAAATCTGCCTCAGTGTTTAGATGTTTTGCATTTCTCTGAGATAATTAGTCTACTTCATAACCGAAATGTGTATAATGTGGAGGACAGTTGCTTTGCACAAATTAATAAACATTCTAAAGTGAAGGTTTTCCTTTAAGTTTAGTAGTGATCACTAACAGGATTCTGAAGTCTGAACACAGTTCATGCATAAAGCTCTAATCTATCAAGCTGGTTGTCTGAGAGCAGTGTGGTGCGAGGACAGGAACTGAGAACCACTGATGTAATGATCACATAATTGTTACTAAATGCCCTGGCAGTTTCAAATTTTATATGATTATATTAACATTTAAATGGTATTTACAATATAATATTAACTGTTAATAAGAGAAATATATTTAAAAAAAAACTTATTGTTGTTTATATTTTGTTCATATTCCAGAACGTTTACATTTAAAAAAAATGTTCACAAAATATATAAATTATATTTTGAATTGTGTATATGAATAAAAAAATCAAGCAGTTAAATCTTTTAAACATTCCACAGCATCTTTTCTGTGCACTTAACTTTAAAATAAAATAATAACAATAATTTAATACATATTTTTTTTAATGTAAAACATTTTACTTTTCTTAACCCCTACCTACTTTACTCTAGCTTGTATTTTTCCAACACAATTGGAAACTGTGAATTAGTAGCACTTGATGTGGACACTAAGTTTATAATTAATTTCTTAATGCTGTTGTAATTATTAGATTTGGTAATATACAAAAAAATATTCTTGCAAATAAGCGTTGTAATATCCTGCAAACCAAATCAAAAATCACAGTGCTGTGCATCAGATTCAATT